ACATACAAGTAAAACTCTTTACTGCTCCACCTTCACAAACTCTTCTGGGTAATCAATCACCTATGGACCACAATGGACTAGGGAAGTGGTATCTAGTCTATTAATCTCCATACTGAGAAAGTCAGAATGACTTAGCCTTTCTGCCTCATATGAACTAAATATGCATGAAAGTATTATTTATTATTTCTCCATTTTGGAAATTCTCCTTTAGGATAAAGTTAAAGCACAATTACTGAGAGACATTAGCCAAAATAAGTGTGCCTTTATTCCATTCTGTGAGAAAACATAAAAGACTGGCAGATGATCCATCTGCAGATGACTAAGTCCATATTTCAAAAATGAACTACTGGGCATATACCCTGAGAAAACCATAATTCAAAAAGAGTCATGTACCACAATGTTCATTGCAGCTCTATTTACAGTAGCCAGGACATGGAAGCAACCTAAGTGTCCATCGACAGATGAATGCATAAAGAAGATGTGGCACATATATACAATGGAATATTACTCAGCCATAAGAAGAAACGAAATTGCGTTATTTGTAGTGAGGTGGATGGACCTAGAGACTGTCATACAGAGTGAAGTAAGTCAGAAAGAGAAAAACAAATACCGTATGCTAACACACACACACACACACGGAATCTAAAAAAAGAAAAATGGTTCTGATGAACGTAGGGGCAGCACAGGAATAAAGACACAGACATAGAGAATGGACTTGAGGACATGGGGAGGTGGAAGGGTAAGCTGGGACGAAGTGAGGGAGTGGCAATGACTTATATACACTACCAAATGTAAAATAGCTAGCTAGTGGGAAGCAGCTGCATAGCACAGGGAGATCAGCTCAGTGCTTTGTGTCCACCTAGAGGGGTGGGATAGGGAGGTGGGAGGGAGGCCCCAGAGGGAGGGGATTTGGGGATATATGTATACATATAGCTGATTTATTTTGTTACACAGCAGAAGCTAACAAAACATTGTAAAGCAATTATGCTGCAATGAAGATGTAAAAAAACAAAACAAAACAATGATATAGTTTAGTTACAATCCAAAAGAGGAAAAAAAAAAAGAGTACTGCTTAAATTTGCTTTATTTCATAAGGGAAATAAGGGAACTCAAGAGTATTTTCCTTTTATCGTGGCCTCATTTCCAAGGCCTGCACTTCCTAATAATTCAATTCAGGACAGTCTGAGAATTACAACATGGCAAACGGAAAAGTCATAGACATGAGTGGTTAATTGGATGTAAAGGGTTACAGATCAGATGAATCAAAACATAGGAGGGGAAAATGGAAGGCTTTACATAGATAGGATATGACTTACTGAAAATCCAAAGTTAGAGCCCAGATTCACTCCTGAGGAGAAAACAACAACAACAGAGAGTGTTTCTCAGTTTTTGTTTGTTTGGTGGATGACCTTTGAGAGGTGTTTCTTTTGTTCTTGGATCATTTTCAAGCCAGCAATGCCCCTCAGTTCAAATCTGGATGATCTGAAAGTCACAACAAAGGAAGAATCAGTATCTTGCACATGGCAGGCATTCAGTAAACATTTTTGGAATGAAGAAATGAAGGGTTTTCAGGACTTAGTATGCATGAAGTGGGACAAGAATCAGGAGAATCAAATCCAGCTGCAAAGAAGAAATGGGCTATAGTACATATACTGCAACTCACTGAAAGCCCAACTACCTACTAAAAGGATGAAAAACGGGGCAGAGTCTCAGGTTCTATTTGATTTATAATTCCTGAGAGCTGTTTCCTTTTATCTTGGTTTCTTTTCAAGGCCAGAATGACCCTCTGAAGTTCAGATCTGGATAAAAAAGAGATTGATTAGTTATGGCAAAGGCAAAAAACTTGAGGGTTCTCAGCTCTTGTGATCTTGTCCAGGACTAGCTACGAAACCCAGGATCTCATGGGGTAGACTTACTTTTACTGCATTTTTCCTCAAAAAATTCCAACCATGATGTCTGCATTTGACAGAGCCAGTGATATTTCTCAAGTTGTTCCAAACCTTTCCCACTCTCAACACCCGACTGTATGTTGCTATTTTGCTCTCACCAGAGCACCTAGCCGTTCTGCTTAATCTATATGTGAGGTGACCCCCTTCCAGACAAGAGCTGTGAAGAGGAAGGGCAGGCTCTGGATCCCCGGCTTGGCCACTTTCTCCGGAGCCTGACTATATTGATGATCTTTTTTTATTTTCAATCTCTGCCTGCTGCCTGTCTCTGATTACTCGCATGCTTGCGTTTCCCAGTCCTAGAAAATACCCTTCCATTTGGCTCTCCTCCACCAGACTACTTAAAGAGAAGTTTTTACTTCCTACTTCAACTTTCTGACCTTCCTCCCATTAGCCCCTCAATCACAGTAATCTGGCTTCCACTCCCACTGTGCTAAAGGCAGCTGTCTCTGGCAAAGGTCACTGAAAACATATGAAAGATAATACATGAGGTCTTCTTTGAATTCCTCATCCTATCTGAGTTCTCTGTCATGTTGGTAGTACTCTATGGAGTAATTCTTTCCTGGCCTCTGAAATATTGCTCCTTGTTTTTATACCTCTCTGGACAGTTTTTTTTGTTTGTTTTCATTCACTCCTAAAGTTTTGCCCATCCCTGAAATGTTGGTGTTCCTAAAGGTTCTACCCCTGAGTCTCTTCTCATGCCAACACATTCCCTGAGTGATATGAACCTGCTCCCTTAGCTTCAGGTACTGCCTGAAAATTCCCAAATCTTCATGTCTAGGCTGTCTCCACTCCTGGAGCTCTCTCTTAAAGAAGCACAGTAGGTTAATTAGAAAACAAATGAGCCAGTACAGGAAGACCTTCATTCATTTCACCTCCACTAATCCTGACATTTCTTTGCTGACAGGAAAGGAAGTTAGGAGGAGGGATGATAAGCCCTGTTACAGAACCCTTGGCACTGGAGATAGACCTCCCCTTAACGGCCCATAACCTCTAAGTAAAATCTCATGGGAGGTGAGTCTCTGTACGGACACTATGTGCCAACATCCCTTTCAGAAAATAATAATGAGATGGCCCTGAACTCAGCTAGAAGAAAGCAGAGTTGGAAGTTCCACATGGGCGGTTCAGTTTGCGTCTGAATTTTTAGGGGGAGTCTGAGTTTTTACTCATTTGAGACCCAGCTTGCCACAGGTTCCCAAGTCCTACCCCTCTCCACGTGTGGAGAATGTAGAAGACTGGGAAATTGCCCAGGAGAGAGGGGCTACGTTCCAGGATCCAACAGCCTCCTTTTAAACTGCCTGCCAGCATCCCATACACAACAGTTCCAGAACTGATCTTATCCTTCTGCTTGTACTCCCATTCTAGTTGACAGTATCACCTTTCACCCTCTTGGCCCAGATGGAAACCTGGTATTGGAGACGCCTCCCCTTCAGTAGTGCCCCCTTCAGTTCTAGGACAAAGTTGTCTCTCCAGACTGGCTCCTTTCTACGCTGGACCAACCTCCCACCATCTTCATACCTCCACTCTCTACCCCATGCAATCCACGTGTGACACTGCAGCCAGAGGAACGTGTCCAAAACACATACTGATCATTCACCTCCTTTCATTAAAATCCCTGATAATGTGCACGTTTTTACCTTTATGAGATCCTTTGCAACCTAACTTGACCTGTCTTCCATTTTCATCTCTGGTGACTCCTTCCCTCATCCAAACAACAAAGGTTTTCTTTGTAATTTTTCAAACACACCATGCTAAGTACTGAGTGCCAACTACGAGTTGGTCACTCATCTATAAACTTTGGAATACAGTGAACATGAAACGAAGGCCCCTGCTCTCATGCAACTCACATTTTAGTAGGAAGAGCCAGCGAATAAACAAATAGGATAATTTCAGATAGTACAGGGGGCCTATCTGGGGGGAGATGCGGGTCAGCTATTTTATTTTATTTATTTATTTTTTTTTTGCGGTACGCGGGCCTCTCACTGCCGCGGCCTCTCCCATTGCGGAGCACAGGCTCCGGACGCGCAGGCTCAGCGGCCATGGCTCACGGGCCCAACAGTTCCGCGGCATGTGGGATCTTCCCGGACCGGGGCACGAACCCGCGTCCCCTGCATTGGCAGGCGGACTCTCAACCACTGCGCCACCAGGGTCAGCTATTTTAAATACAGTGCTCAGGGGTGGCCTGACAAGATGACTTTTAGCTGAACTTGAAGGATGAGGAGGAGCCAGACAAGCAAAGATCTGGCATAGAGTATGTGGGGCCGTTTGAGCAGCACGGGAAAAAGGCTCTGAGGCAAGAACTAGTCTGGCAGCTTGGCATTTCCAAGGTTCCAAAACAAAGCAGTGAGGTTGGATCTTATATACCTGAGGAGGGGGACAATGCCCTGGTGAGGCCAGATCACATGGGGCCTTATAGGCCAGGTCAAGAAGTCTGGAAATTATTTTAAGGGCAAAAGGAATCTACTGAAGGGTCTTGTGTGAAGTACTGACGTGCTCTGATTTACCTTTTCAAATGATCACTCTGGCTCTTGGAGAAGGTGTTTTTGGTGAAGCGGAAGGGTAAGCCTCGAGACCAGCTCCACGCCTTCAGGCTTATGCTCAGGCCATTCCTAAGTCTGGAATAACAGTCTTTACTGGGTTCCAGGGTCCCAGTTCCCAGGAAGCTGAGAAAGTGGCTCCTTACTGCATTTCTTTCAGCCCAGGTCAAGCCTCGTTTAGCGATCAAGAAGAGATGGACGGGTGTCCCCCAATAAACCTTGCCTCACCAACCCTTCAGTCATTCAAAAGACCACTCACTAGGCGCTGGAGACACTGAGGAGAGGCCGACGAGGCCCTCCCCCGCCCTCGCTGTCGAGAGACCACTTTTTTCAGGTCCCTCCTCCATCTTCTAACTCAAGGGGCAATTCTCGATCAGGCTATGGCGTCCCGGGGCAGTGACAAACCCAGGCCCGTGGGTTGGCCGGGCAGAAGAGAAGAGGTTTCCCCCTAAGATGAACGGGGCCGCCTCGCAACTGGCAGCCCAGCGGGGCCCAAACCAAAGAGCCACCAAGAAAGGGAGGCGCAGCTGGCTCCAAGGCAGGATACGGACTACAACTCCCAGCAGATCCTGCGCGCGGACCGCCGATCCCTCCGCTCCAAATTTGCCCTGCCGGCTGTGTCCACCGCTGTCCGCCAAGGGCCAAGTCCAGGTTTTCTAGGCCCCGGAGTCCGTCTTCTTATCACATTTCCGGAGAGGGAGGCTGGGAGCCCTGGAGGAGAAACGGACCATTTTGAGGAGAAACGCGGATGCAGACCATCGAAGAGACGTCGTTCTGCGGCTCCCGATTTTCGCGCGCTTTTGGCGCGGGTGGTTGTGGGTAGCGCGCCCAGGAGGGAGAAAGGAGCTGGGGGGCCTGTGACCGCGCCACCCGCCGGGCCTGAGGGTATGGACGAGGACGATCCCCACTCTGAGGGGGCGGCGGTGGTCGCCGCGGCCGGGGAGGCGCTGCAGGCCCTGTGCCAGGAGCTGAACCTGGATGAGGGGAGCGCGGCCGAAGCCCTGGACGACTTCACCGCCATCCGGGGCAACTACAGCCTAGAGGTGAGCGGCGGCAGGTGCGGCGGCGAGACCGAGCTCGCCAGGCCCCACCCCCGCCCCGCCCCTACCCCACCCTATGGGGCGGTGGGAGTTTCCCCACCGGCAAGGGTCTCTGCCCAGCCCCGCGCCGAGGAGTGCGAAGCTGGAAGGGCGAGTGTAGATCAATCTCTCCATTTATTTTGAGGCGGGAAACCGAAGTCCGGAAAAGGAGTGGCTTGTCCAAGGTCACATGCCACTCAGGGGTCCCCTAGTCTTCAGACCAGTGCCACAAACGTCATGGGACTGCCCTTAAATCTGCTTAAACAGTTACTCTAATGGCAGAAGCTTACGTGAATTGTGTGCCCAGACGACACTGCCCAGCGCTTTAAATATGTCATCTTACTTGGTTCTCGCCGCCACACCTCTTCGAACATGTTGTGATCCCCGTTACACAGATGGGAAAGCTGAGCCCCGAAGAGGTTAAGCGCAAGGTCGCACCGTTAGAGGTGGAGCCAGAGTTAGGAGTCTGAGCCGTAATCTCTCCACCCTTCCGCCTCGAGGTGTGGGTTGCTCTTTCGGCAGTATTGCCACTGTACAGCAGTTTGATCAGAGCCAGTGTGCACACAATGCTTATCTCTCGGCCACAGCTTCCTCCTCTCTCAGATGGGGATAATTAGATTATCCTGATGCTAAGCACAGTGTCTGTCTCTAAACAAAATAAATGTAGGCTATCATTAGATTTTCCCCAACCGTTCTTGCATTAAGTCTTCACAACAGCCCTGTGAACATGGCAGGGCAGCGAGTATTAAACCTGCTTTCCAGGCAATATTATCAAGGCCCAGAGGATTGTCTTGCCCAGGGTCGTTCTGCTAATTGTCATAGGAACCCAGACAAGCATAAGCCCAGTATAGAGGTAGAATTGTGATGGAATGTATTTGCAATTACTCCAGTAGCCTTATGGTCAAAGGTTTTCGTGATCTAAGAGGGCTGGACTCACCCAGAGTGCTCTGCTGACTCATCACCTGGTGAAATAATCGGTGGGCTCTAAGGCATAGAGTTGGAAATTTGGAGTTGAATATGTGTGTGTGTGTGTGTGTGTGTGTGTGTGTGAGAGAGAGAGAGAAGAAGAGAGACTCTTGTATGTCTCCAGGGTAGGACTGGATAGACTGGATGAAGGACAGTGATGTGCATCTCTGGGTGACACGACTGGAAAGCTGAGGAAAGAATAAGCAGCTAAGGGAGATTATAAATTATGGTCTCTAGATTGGAAACAAACTTTTTAGAAGTCTGAGAAAGCATTTCTGACATCGAGTCCTCATTTGGTCTGTAACTGAAAAGCACTGCTGAGTGCAGACGGAGGTCAAGGTATTAACCTGGGCACATCTTTCAGATTCTTGAATATGCCAAGCTTGTTCCTACTTGTGTGCTTTCTCCATGTCAATCTCTCTGCCTGGAAACTTTTCCCTCACTCCCGACTGCAGCGAAAGTTGAAGAGCTGAATCTCCAGTTAGGCCGAGTTCATCAGGATATCTTAAATGTTTGACCAAAATCACAGCTGTGTGAATTAAGATTTTGTGAGTGTTTATTCTATCTAGAGTGTTTTATTTTCCTCTTCTTTTATGCTTTGTTTTTGGTGGAGGGCATTTTCATATATCTGCTGCTTCCTAAGAACCCCTCTGCCCAGCCCCTATCCCCTCTAGTCTACCTGACTAGCTCCTGCTTACCCACCCCACTTCCCCCCTGTACATTCTGGTGATTTTTCACCACTTAGCTCTTTTGTCTCCCTCTGTGAACCCTTCCCTGACCCCCAGTCAAAATCAGTAACTACACTATATTCTCCCATAACACTTTCTCTTCAATTCTTTTTAAAACATACATCTCACCAATTATAGATAATAGTATAATATCTGTTCCTCTTAGCTCTACACTTGGAGTACCCTGATGTTAGAAACTGTTTTTGTATTTCTAAGGCCTAGCGTAAAGGAACTAAATTAAATACTATAGGTGCTTTTTTTTTAAGGAAAAAAATCAAAGCAGTAATTTTGATTCTTAAATTTTCTCTGTCTTAATAGTGTTTTCATCTAGTAGCCTGTATCCAAAAGCTGTAGAGTACTTGGATGCTGTACCCAAACAATTCGTTAATCAAGGCTTCTAAAAGTATTCAACCTTAAGCTTACCTGCCTCCTTTAATGCCTTGAGCAAATGAGACTTTTCACTATAGTACTTCAGGGTAGGAACACTAGGTCTTAGCTTTATTGGTGGCTACCCATCTCTACCCACCCCTTTTGGATTATTGCAAGAAATCTTTATCAATCATTTTATTCTTTTAGAGTCTGATCTTAAAGAGGATCTGCACAACAGTATTGTGTTGTGCTATGAGATTTGAGTCTAGTTCTTAATTTTATATAAAACTCATCAGTGAAGTCATAAAGTGAATCTAGCTTGGATATCTCAAGCCTAAAGCAGAGAATTAAGTGTTGAATTCCCAAATGACACCTTTTTTGTAGCATTGTAAATTGAAGTGTCTGCTAAGATAGAGAGCCATACTTACTATTTTAAAGATTAGGGTAAATAATTCCCCAAATTTTTACCTCACAAAACTGACAGTCTCCTTTGTGTTGTGATGGGTATTAATTTTTATATGTGTAATTCTCTTGCCATCTTCTACTCTGTTCTTTCCTTTCTCTGCCAAACTGGTTAAAAAAGAAACCTAAAACTAAAATGGTAGGAACTTCAGCATCATCAAGGCCATGACTGGTGTTATAATATTGAGAAAGCTAATGCTGAGAAATTGAAAACTCTTCAATAATATTAGATTTGGGGTATAGGTGAGAGATCTATCTTTAGATTAATACGGATTTAGCATGTTACACAGGACTAAGAGTAAGGAGTTTTATACCCATTACTGCAACCAACTAAGTTTTGTGACCTTGGGCAAATATCTTCATTTCTCTGGCCTGTTAATACAGGATGAAAATTAGACCAGGTAATTCTAAGATCTCTTTTGATTCTAGAATTCAAGCGTTTTAACACAGTGTATCCATTTTGCTGTTTTATCTTTTGCCTGCCAGGGAGAAGTTATACACTGGTTGGCATGTTCATTATATGTTGCTTGCCGCAAAAGCATTATTCCCACAGTTGGAAAGGGTATCATGGAAGGAAATTGTGTTTCACTTACCAGAATACTACGTTCAGCTAAATTAAGGTAAAGCACTTTGATTTTTCAAACATTATTTTATAAGTCCTAAATTTAATTTTAGGATTTAATTTCTCTTTATTTTAAATCATTTAGCTTCATCCCATTCGAAGTTTGTTATCCTATAGGTATCTTTTCCCAATTCTCACATTCTTTCTCTGCCTTTCTTCCTTAAATTCTAACTTAAACCAGAGGCCTCTAAATCTTTTTAGGTTTAGAGGTTCTTAATCTTTTTTCTCTGTAACTGTTTCATTAATGTTTTAAATTTGAGAATAATTTCAAGCTTTCAGAAAAGTTGCAGAAATAAGAAAACGACAAAGAACATCCATGTACCCTTGACCTAGACTCACCTTTTATTGATATTTTACTCCATTTGCTTTATCATTTGATCTTTTTCTATTAAATAGTATTTTTTTCCTCAGCTATTTCAATTTAAGTGGTGTCCATTGTAGCCCTTTACCCCTAAATACTTCAGTGTGTATTTCCTTAAATAACTACAGTACAGTTATCAACTTCAACAGTTAACATTGATACCGTAATTTTATATAATCTAGCATCTCTATTCTAGTTTTATTGGTTGATCCAGTAACATTCTTGATAGCATTTTCTTCCTTCAAGATCCAATCTTAAAAAAAAAATAATCCAATCTAGGATCAGGTATTGCATTCACTTGCCATGTCTTTTTAGTCTCCTTTAAACAAGAACATTTCCACAGCCTTTGGCTTTTATGACATTGACATTTTTTTTTTTTTTTTGCTGTACGCGGGCCTCTCACTGCTGTGGCCTCTCCCGTTGTGGAGCACAGGCTGCGGACGCACAGGCTCAGCTGCTCCACAACATGTGGGATCCTCCTGGACCGGGGCACGAACCCGTGTCCCCTGCATCAACAGGCAGACTCCCAACCACTGCGCCACCAGGGAAGCCCCGACATTGACATTTTTGAAGAGTATAGTTCACAATCACCCTGCCCCCCTTTTTAATAGATTGTTCCTCGTTTTGTTTCATGTTTCCTTATGATTAGGTGCAGGTTTTACATTCCTAGATGGAAAACTACATAAGTGATTTTGTGTCCTCAGTATATCACATCTAGAGGCACATGATATCCTTCTGCCTCTCATTGGTGATGTTAATTTTGATCATCTGCTAATGATGTTCTCTTGTTTCTCTACTGTATGGTTGATATTTTTTCCCTTGCAAATACTAAGCAATTGGTGGGTCTTAGCTATAGCTTTTACTTGCTCTGGTATCAACTGTATGGAACTATTTGCCTGAATACCAAACAACAGAAATGGAGTGATTCAGATTTGGATAGTTGCTAATGTTCATAATGACTATTTGAAGTCATTGTCTATTTGCTATCCTGGGTTTCCAGGACAGAGGAGAAAGTGTAAAGCCCTATCCAGCAAGGGTTAAGTTTCAGTTCATGCTAAATTAAAAAAGAAAAAAAATCCTCAGAACAATTTTGGTTTCTATAAATGGAAAAAGAATTAAGTCAAGACAATTTTTAAAACTTTAGTAAATATAATTTTTGTCATTCATGATAAAAACAAAATGAAAATATAACTAAGATAAAAGGAGTTAAGGTAATTTTTTTAAATTGAGCAAAACCTTGTCCATTGTCATATGATCTTTTTCTATTGATGGTTCTCATCACTGACCATATTAAATTTTTAAATCTTTGTAATAATAAGTTGTTGTGGAAACTGAACAGTACAAGCTCATGATAAAAATTTCAAATAATGAAAAGAGTTCTGGAGGTAGATAGTGGTAATGGTTAATGCCACTGACCTGTACACTTAAAAATGGTTAAAATGGTAAATTTTACATTGTATATACTTTTACCACAATAAAAGAAAAAAGGTTTAAAAATTTTCAAATAATACAGAAGGGTTGAAAATAGAAAGATGTCTCTTTCTTTTTCCATCCCCCAGAATTTACCACTATTAACAATTTACTGTTATTAAATTTTTAAGCAGGAAAAAATCGGTTTTTCAGTTTTTTGCGTTTTATTTTTAAGCATAAATGAGATCATTGCTAAATGTATTTTTCTGTTGCTTTTCTTTATATTCTGGAAATCCTTCTATATAACTATGTATAGCTCTACCTCATTAATTTTTTTTTAGTGACTGTGGGATATTTTAAGTTA